CTGACTTAGATATTTAACATTAATATATGTCTTTTTGTACACTTAAAAAATTAACTATTCTTTAAACCATACTGAAATATTTTCCTTACCTTTAACTGCCCACTAATCATTCCATTGGCAATATTTTCTACTAGGCTTAAAGCTTTTGTGCTTGTAGTGTAAGTATTTGCCAAATGGATCTGAAAAAAATTATCAAAATTTCCTTTCAAACAAAGATTTATTTGTACAGTGTCTACCAACATGCATGTTAGGAATTTGTTTGTTTCAGAAAGTTGCTAGCCTTTCCTTATTTTTAACTGATATACTAGAGGGAAGCCAGCAAGTCAACACCCACCAACAAATCCTGGGCTACTCTAATCACTCTTATACCACAACCATCATACCAAAGTGCAGATTTTATTGCAACGGGACACAAATTATGAATCCTCAGATATACTAACTGACCTGTGTCCTAGGAATAATGTTTAAAGACCTAGACTAAATAAGCATCATTTGAAGAAAATAAATACCCACTCAGCACCAGACATCAGACCAAAGTAAATGCTACCAGCAGGCATCAAAAGATAAGTAACATAAAAGCAGTGAACATCAGTGCAGAAAAATAAATATTGCCAATAGGTAATGAGAGAAGAAGTATCATAATAGCAACAAACATCAGTTCAAAAAAAGTACCAGAATATCAGCATATCCAAGAGAAGTACAATAACAGCAGTAGACATCCATTCAAGAAAAAAAATACCACAACACCAACAGACATTAATTCAAGACAACAAATACCACATCAGCAGCAGATATCAGATCAAGAGAATAAATACCACAAAACCACTTACATTAGCCACAGACAACAAATACCACATCAGTCCCAAAGAATGACGAATAAATGCCACAATTCTAGCATGCATCAGTTCAAGAGAAGTAACACAGCAGGCATCAGCTCAAGAGAATATACACAAAAGTTCAACAAATATCAGACAAAAAGAAATTACTCACAAGTACATCAGCTGATAAGAGTCCTGTGACCTTCAGCTGCATTAATGGGGCTTTTGTGATGAGTGAGCTTGAAAATTCCAAACAATCTAAAATTTTCTGAGCATTCTTATCAAAAAGGTCCTCCCTACATGAAGAAAATGTTAAAAATTTGTAATTTTCGTGTTAAAGTTTACCAATTCATTTATAATCACAGTTTTACACACTTTAAATTTCTACTTAACAAATAAATATAGGTTAGTGAAGTGATACAGTAATAAAAGCTAAACTTTTGATTTCTTTGCTCAGGTTACTGTTAGTAAGTCCTTTGAATGCAAAAGAAACAAAAGCATGAAGAGAAGTTCTAATACCAATGATTCAACCTGATATAGTTGTACAATTCAAGTTTCAACCATTTCATTATTCATAATTTAAGGTGTTTCTTATGCAGTGTTGATGTGCTATAAGGAAAAGTTTGCTTTCCAAAGTATTCCAGTTCAAGTACAATAACTGCTATGTATTGTTGCGTCAGCGAGTCACATGACCACCGTGACGCCACGTTTCTAGAACTATCCTGTAATTTGGCAAATGCTCTAGTAATTACTAGATATAGGGTAGGCTGGTATATAAAAGAGGGGAATGTGATGTGTGTATAGACAGTGAGTAATTGAACTGCAGTCAGAAGTATTATTGACGTTCGTTGATATAGCGTTGTTTAGCGCGATTGTTGAAGTTGAGTGTATCGGT